GGGAAGACTGAAGCTGGGATTTGAGAGGTGAAATGGAGCATCAAAAGCATTGTCAGGGCTTCAAAGAGTCTCACACCAGCTCTTCTGTACCATCCTGGTGGCTCCAGTGACATGAACCTCAGGGAGAAGAGTCAAATCATACATGGTGAATTCTAACCTTTAGGAAGCATATCGATTATTGATTCTCTCTCTCTCTCTCTCTCTCTCTCTCTCTCTCTCTCTCTCTCTCACACACACACACACACACACACACACACACACACACACGGGAGAGGTGGAGGGGTAACACCACTTGTCGCTGTCCGTGGTAGAGTAATGTCCATGTGTTACTGTCAGTGGTCCTGAACCCCATCTCTGGGCCCACTTCTGATTTCCATCCAACTTTCCTCAGAAGTGAGACTCCGCTTGGTTATGTTTGTTTTCTGTCTTCACGGGAAATATGCACTGTTAACATTGCCCATGCGAATCAGGGTACCAGCAGGAAACAGATGGCAATTCAAATTGTGTGATTCAAGGAGAGCTTTGAAAAGGAACAAAGGCGTGAACGGGATTAAGGAAAACCACCCATGGGTAGTGAAGCACCCTGGGGCTACAGTAATAGAGAGCTGTTACCACCCCTCGGCCTGAAGGGAGGGAGGAAGAGCGTTGCCAGAGCCAGGAGAGAGCTGGGAATGCAGACGCAGGTGAGGGATGATGACCAGAGCTGTGACCCCTGGTGAGGGGAAGTCGGCCCATGACGACATCACAGAAAGAGTTCCCTGAGTTCTACTGCTACCCTTCACTCCATCTCCCCTGGTGACTGCCACTGGCTAAATCCAAGTCAGCTTCATGGAAAGAGAACCTGGAGGGTGAGGGGTGGCCATGTGCAGCAAGGAGAAGATATGACACATTGCTGGCATTAGCTATCTTTGCTGCATAACAACCATCCCCCAAAACTAGTGGCTTAACATGAGAAGCCACCTGTCTTTGCTCATAACTCCACAATTCAGGGAGTCAGTAGGTCTATTATTCTTACCTGGGCACTCATCTGAACACAGTCATTTGGGTGGAACAAGACAGTCTAAGTCACATGTCTGCGGTTAGTTGGGCCTCTCGGCTGGGGGATTTTGTGTCTTTCCTTATGACCCCTCTAGCAGCATAGACTGGACTTCTGACATGGTGGATGGAGTGCTCCAGAGGATCATTTCCAGTGGGCAAACACTCAGTCTTCATGTGCCAATTTTGTTGATGTCTCATTGGCTAAAGAAGGCCAGATGCTAAGCCCAGAGAAAGTGCCAGGAGACTGTAAAATGCAAAACCCACGCTCACCAGGGATCACCCACTGAACAATGTACCGTGTTGTTCTGTCTGGAAGGAACCATGGCCTGTGTTTCCATTTTGCTATCATTTTTGTATATGTTAGACAGCCTATGTAATTTTCTGATTACTTACAGGTGATTCCTACAAAGTTCACTAAAACCAGGGAGAGGACATTCAGCACCCCGTAGCCCCAGTGCCTCTCTGCCTCCAGGGATGAGGGGCCTGACGCCCACCTACCCTGGTGAGCGTGAAGCCCAAGGGCTTTGTAAACTGCACTGCCGGGTGGACCAAGGTTTCACTTCTCTGCCACCTTCCCCCAAGTGGCCTGGGAGGACCCAGATGGGGAGAGGACTGGATGGGGCAGGTCTCCAAGATCAGTTATTCATGGAGGCTGAGAGAGAGGCTGTTTGTGCTGTCTGAAGCCATCTTGAATGTCTTAGAGTTGACATCCCCAGGCTGCCGTGGGCCACATGAGGCCTGGTGCTTTGTGGTGAAGTGTTATCAGGGAGCTGGGGGTTCAGGAGGAACCAAGGGACACCTAGTGAGGGCGCCCCCTGTGCCAGCACAGGACTAGACCCAGCCTATGGCTCCATTTCACATCAACCTCAAACTACCCGATGGAGCAGGTGCTGCTGCAGCCCTGTGGTACAGAGAGGGGAAACCGAGGCTCTGGGCACCAAGTGATCTGCCCAGCTCAGCAGGGTACCTGGGGTGGACCAGGTCTGGGCAGCTCCAAAGCCTGTGCTTCTGGTCCCTGCCCTCCTGGCTGGGGGACAGCATCCTGAGCTTTGGGCCAGGACCATGGACAGACACCAGGATGGCGTGTGCATGTGTGCGTGTACGCCTGGGTGCGTGTGTGTGTTTTGTGTAAGGTGAGAATACAACCAGAGCCCTTCCTGGGCCCTAAGTGTCTCTTCTTCACAAAGATGAAGTGAAAACATGCAGTGTGCAGGCCAGAGTGTTGGAGATTTCTGTCCTGGAACCAGAAACTGGCTCTGTCTGATGATGAGAGAGTCAGGCAAGTCCAGGAATGAGTGTGGAGAAGTTTCACGAAAGCACATGAGACTCTTTATAATAGTGGCTTTGTTGCTTCTGCTTGATTACCTCCAGTAGCTAGGAGCTCATCCCCTCTCAAAGTCGCATGCTCTCTCTTTGATGGCTCCAATGGTTGGGAAGCCATTCCTTGCCTTGAGCCAGACTCTCCCTTACCATCCCATTCACCCGTGGCTGCCAGCTCTGGCTAGGGGTTGTGACATGAGCGGTCGCCCAGGGCAGGGATTAGGAGCATGGGTGTCAGTGGAGACAGTCCATTCCACAACCTGCCTGGCTCCACTGTGCCTGTCTGGTGACCTTGAGCAGGACAATTCACCCCTTGGAGTCTCTGAAACGGAAATAACTTCAGAACCTCGGGATGAAATGAGGCCGTGGATGGAAATTGCCCACGGGAAGAAAGAAGGGTGCTGTGGGTTTCCACGGTGCCAACCCCTGCAGGGCTGTGAGGTGCACACTCCCTGGGCAGGATAAGAACAGGTCAAGAGCTCAGGCTCTGAAGCCACAGGCCTGGGACTCCACATAGAGCCCCATGCAGCTGGGCCACCTGGGAAGCGTCCCCCCCTTCCCTAAGCCTGGATGACCCAGGAGGGGATGCAGGAGAGGGTCAGGAGAAGAGACTGTCCGGCCGTCTCGATGGTCACAGCAGCCCCTGGAGCCCAGCAGGAGGGACCTGGGGTGGTACCCAGTGCACCCTGCCTTCTCTAGTCTTCTGCCAGGGGCTCCCACTGGATGAATCCAACCAGCAGCCACAGGTCAGGGGAGCTGTGGACGCAGCCACTGGGGTCCACCTCCAGGGCAGAGCAGGGTGGACGGCCATGGATCTGCAGCAGCAAATCGGAGCTTCCCAGCGCAGCTCTCGAGCTGGGTTGAACCATGCAATGCTGCCACTCTGTGGCCCTTCTTTTCCCTCTCAAAACAACCAACTTCTGTGTTTACCCCAATATCACTCTTATTTTCCCCAGCATAAAATAATGCAAGGCAGGGCCAGGAGGCTCACTTACACCAGACCCGGGTCAGAGCCCTGGAGATGGTACCTGCTACCTACTGCATGACCTTGACCAACTGGGGCTTCTGCTTTCTCCAGAAAATGAAAATATTTGGGAGGCTGAGGCAGGAAGATCACAAATTCGAGCCCAGCTTGGGCAATTTAGTAACCTAGCCAGACCCTGTCTCAGAACAACAAGAAGTGGCGGGGATGTAGCTCAGTGCAAAGGCTGTGGAGTCAACCCCAGCCCTGTGGGGGGACAGAATGCTGTGTCCAGCACCGATAATTTGTGAAAAATGCCCCTCCCACAAGAGAACCAGGGCTACTGCCAGTGTAAGGGGATAAATGTTCCTCTCTGCTCTGAGCAGTGGAGGGACCACGGCAACACTTGTGGTCCTCAGTAAGGTGATGTGATTTAAGGCTGCAGCGAAGGCAGTGCCAGCTGAGGTCTAATCAGAATGAATTTCACCGCAGCCTGGGCCTGGGTGTTGGCCAGAAGACCATTAAGCTAAATGGCTTGTTTTAATATGCAGTAGACCCACTGAATCACATTTTCCTGTTTGAGGCCTGGATGCCTTGTGCGCATGCCTGAGAATAGAGCTCAATCCCAGCTTCTCCACTTTTCCTTACCTGCCTCGCGGTAGCTAGAGCGGAGATAAGCCCAGTCAGCAACAGAGGAGAGCAAGTTTCCGCTTTATCAAGGACGTGGGCCATTCGCCCAGCTGTGCCGGAAACCCTGAAGGGTTGACAGTGATCACTATGTCTACTGCGGTCAGCTTGGTGGACTCAGGGCTCAGAGGGGCTCCATAATCTGGGAGAGGAGGGACAAGTTTGGGGTTCTTGTCACTTACCAGCTCTGTGTCCTCAGGCAAATAACTTTACCCCTCTGCCTTCAGTTTCTCTTTTTTTTTTTTTTTTGCCTTTTTTGAGACAGGGTCTGCTATGCAGTTCAGGCTGGCCTTGAGCTCACTTTGTAGCCCAGGCTGGTCTCAAACTTGCAACAATCCTCCTGCCTCAGCCTCCCCTCAACTTCCCGAGCGCTGGGATTACAGGCGTGCCACCACCATGCCTGGCAGTTTCTCAATCTAAAACTGAGCAGTGAAGGGTACTGTTTCCAGGATTGTTATGAAGGCCGAGTGCGACATTGCACAAGGGACTCTGAGGGTGGGTCCTGGCCCACAGCAAGCCCAGGCGGGCTGCGTCTGATTTTGGTATGATAACAAACAATTCCGGAAGCTTCAGATCTGATCCTTATACAGGCCTCCTGGGTCTGGTGGGTTAGCAGGGGTGCCTGCTGTCATTGTCCTCCCTGAGGGACCCAGCCTCACACATCCATGATTGTCCCCGCAGGGAAAGGGAACTGTGGAGACAGGTACGCAGGGCTGGCCTGCCATCGCTCCTCTGCAGAGAGAACCCGCAATTTTTCCTTCTCTGGGAAGAGTCCCAGGGAGAACCAACCCCACAGCCTGCGGCTCTGGCATTTTGTGCATTAACAGAATCTAAGCCTTTTCTAGAACACACACACACACACACACACACACGCACGCACACACACACACGGCCTGTTTTCAGAAGACGAAAGAACTTATTCTTTGTTTTTAATTAATGCCAGCTCTCTCAGCCTCACTTTCATACCACCTCGTTTGTCTTATTAAGTACTTCGTTTTGGTTTTAATTAATGTTGTTTATTATCACAGGATTTTAATTGTGAGTGCTGGCTCTCAGCAGGCCCAGGCTCTCAGATGGCTTGGAAATCTTTCCTGTCCTCTAAGGAGCTTGAGGGACAGACCTGTGAGGTGGAGGACGGAGAGGTGTATGGGGGGCGGGTGCAGTCACTGTCTTACTGTTCTCCAGACCGCAGACAACGCTGGTGACTTTGGCATCCCTGTTCGCCCTAGATTAGCTTGGTCTCACCCTGAAGAGGCTGAAAAGCTCAGGAGGGCAGCAGAGGCGGAAATTCATTTCAAACGTGGCTTGAGAAGAGCATAGGGGTAGGGGGAGCATAGTAACTCATGCGAGCCGAAATGTCCAGGGTAGATTCAGGCATGGCTGGATCCGGCATTCTGACGCCATCGTCAGAAATCAGTCTTTCTCCATCTCCCAGCTCTGCTTTTTCTCCTTTGGTGAGATTTTCCTGTGTGGTGGCAAAAGTGCTCAACTGCAGCTGCAGGTTTCTATTCTACCAGCTTAGCAGCTCCAATGGAAAGAGAATACCTCTTTCTATAGAATTCTGCAAAAGTCATGGGACAAGCTTTCATTGGCCCACACTGGATCATGTGCCCAGCCCTGAACCAATCATAGTGAGCTGAGAGATGCACTACCCTGACTGGCCAGGAGGGGGACCAGGTTTGAGTGAGCCCCATCCAAGGCACACAGAATGAGGCCAGGAAAGGGATCTTTTCCCAGAGGAAAATGTTATTCCTAAGAGCCTATCAAGATAACTACAGCAAGAGCTGTCTGCCCCTTGCATCCCCTGCAAGGCCTCACTCAGGCCTGAACAAACCAATCATTTAGATCCCTGTCTAAATGGCTGGCTTTGCCCATCAATACTGGAGACTGTGTCCTCCTTCCTGGCTGATGCTTAGCATTTCAGATTAACTCCCTAGCTCTTCCCAGCCACTCTGCAAGAGCAGGAATTATATACACATTGCAGAGGGGCATATCAAATTTTCCAGAGTCACTCAAAACAAAGAAGGGAGATGGGGTTGGATCCCAGGACCTGGATCAAGAGCACTAATTTTCCAACCACAACAGACAGCTGTGTCAGTCAGTTCTTGCTGCATAACAAACCAGCCCCATGTCAGCAGCTTAGAACGACTACCATTGTTTGCCTTGTGGTTTGTCAGTTTGGTGACTGGATTGCATCCAGCTTTGTGGTTCTTCTGGTGGATCCTGGACTTGGATGATCTTGGGTGGGCTTATTCCTACATAGGAGCTTGGCCAGGCTGTCTGCTGCAGCTGTGTGGCATCAGGAGCACCATGTGGAGGTGACAGTGAGATGCTCTGTTTCGAGGCCAGGAGCACAGAGTTCCTTCTCTCTAGTACCTCTCGGACTGGCTCTGTCCTTGGGCAGGGGCTTGGAGCACAAAGCACGGTTCCTTCTTGTTCCAGGCATAGCCAGGCTCAGGGGAGGCTGAGGAGGTCCCTGCCACTCAAGGGACAGGGAGAAGCCAGCATGCAGGAACCTGAACCATCCAGATGTGGCTGGTTGGTTGTGCAATAGCAGCAGAGCTTGGGGGTGGACAGGCAGCTCATCCCAGGGCCTTTGCACTTGCTTTGGCCTCCATTAAAATGCTCTGCCTCAGACAGCCACACGGCTCAGTCCCCTACCCCCTTAGGTCTTCGATCAAACATCATCTCTCCATGAAAACCCCTTGACATCTATTAAAATCAAACTTCTTTCCCTGTTTTATTTTTCTCCAGGATGCTCACCACCAGCTGACATGTTTCATTTCTGTCTGTTGTCTGCCTTCCCCGCTGGAAGGGAGGCTCCTTGACGACAGCGACTTTTGTCTTTTGTCTGACTGCCGTTGCCCCTGTGCCAGGAACAGAGCTTGCCACAGAGTAACTGCAGGTGTTCCGGAAACATTTTCGGAGTCTCCCAGATTTTCCAGGGAAGCTAGCTGGCAGTCTGCATGTTTTATTAAAGCCTGTGCTTTCTAAAATATTGGCTTAGTTTTACTTTTCAAAAATACTGCATGGGCCAAACAGAACAGATTTCCAGCCTGAATCCTGTGCATCACGTCTGCCGTCCGCTCCCCAGTTTGAGGCCCTGTGTGTGCGGCATCTCCCAGCCCACGGGGCCTTCGCAGCGTGTGTGTCTGGATTGCTAATTGAGCAGTGATGAGCTGGGCCCAGGGGAGGAGAGCCAGGCAAGGCTGGGACAGAGATGTGGGGCTGCTGGGCGATGTCCAAGCCGCTGGCCGTGCTGCGAAGCACGGGATTTAATTCCAAGGCTGTGGAGCGGGGAGGCAGACGGCGGCCTTTGACCTCTATGCAGGCAGCTGCAGTGCCACACAAAGCCGGTTCCCTGCAGTGCCACGCAAAATCCCTGCCGCCCCAGCCAGCACCGCTGGGGTGTTCACACACCTGCCACGGCTCTTAAACTCAGTGGGCCGTTTTATCCATTCAGCTCCAGCTAGTGGAAGATCCGGAAGATACCAGGGGTTGGAAGTACTGGTCCTTAACAAATGATGGCAGAGGGAGCTGGGGAGGCAGAAGGGAACACAAAATCAGGGGAGATGGAGGGCCCAGAATCTCTATTTTTCAGGGCGAGGACAGGGTCTTCCCAGCAATCTAGGAAGCAGGGAGGTTTACAGTCCTCTCCGGGCTATGGAGGCAGGCCCGGTACAGCTGCTCAGGTGCAGATCTGTTCCCGGGCCGCTGCATTCCCTGAGCTTGGCCTCAGGTGTTCTGGGCCTCGCCCTCCACCCTGTTTTCCACTGACGATTTACCTTGGTGAGCAGTCCGTGGCTGCCATGGATTGAGAATGCAGCTCTGACCCATACGGATGTTCCAGCATCCGGCTAACCGGCACTGGTTTCAGGGCCTGGGGTTGCTTATCCGGAGACTCCAGGCAGGAGCTTGGGCAGCCCGCTGAACCGCTCTGTGACCCGGCGGTCTCACCTGAGCTGGGATGAGACGAGGCTCCTGGGAACATCCAGGGAGATAAAACGCTCAAGATACCGAGCACACGGAGAGACTTGGTAGTGAACTTTCTATTGTTGTCGTTACTTTTGGTACCGAAAGGAAATTGTTCCTTAGTGCGCATGCGGGGACTGCCCGGATGAGGAACAGCAGCTGTAGTCTCTGGTTTCCCGGAAGGGCAGTTATGTCCGTCCCTGCACAAACCAAGGTGTGTGATCTCTCAGAGCCACCCAGCAGGGCACAGGGTGGGCGAATCACTGCTCATTCTGAGGCAGAGAGGCAGGAATGCAGCCAGGGACCAAAGGGCAGGGACTGGACAGTCACCAATCCCCCAGACACCCCTCAGAACCCAGCAATCCAAAGCGCAAGGAGAAGTGAACAGGTGTGGACAAGAGGAGTGAATACGCACCTGGGCTTTGGAGCCAGGTTCAACTCTCACCTCTGCTACTTGGTAGCTGTGTGATGTCAAGCAGGTGTCTTAACCATTCTGAGCCTGTTTTCTTAGCTGTGTCGTGAGAATAATCTCATCTGCCTTGAAATAGGATTATGCAGATGAATGCAAATAATGAAGGTGAGAATTTGACACATAGTAGTTGCTCGAGAAATATTACTCATTATTATATAAACTATAAGAGGAGCAGGGGAATGGAGTTGCAGCTTTATAGGTGCTGCTGTGTGTCAGGACTGCAGCTGGGGTATAAACTCAGGAGCCTGGGGTACCCAGAAACCTATGCCATTTATCCACCACTCACATCAGTGCTCTTGCTGCTGATCGCAGTACCAGTGGTTGCTTACCCCGGGCCTCAGGCTCCTTGTGGGTGATGGCGAAGCTTCCCTGTAGCGAGCAATGGCAGGGTATGTGGTCTGCAGATGCCCAAGTTCACCGTGGGGCTTCCCCTCTCTGGGACTGCGTCTCCCCGAGAGCCTGCTACGGTTCTCAGAGTATCCCCTACAGACCCTTAGGATGACGAACACCTTCCGGTCGTGCTCTGTTGGATCGGAAATGGCGAAGGACGGCACACACTCTCCCGGGGGCCCCTGTCACTTGAAGTCAGGGTCCCTAGAAGCAGAACTGGAGGTGGGGATTCCTGCTGTACTGAGGACTGGGGGTGCTCGAAAGGTAGCAGGTGAGGATGCGGCCCCAGGCTGAGCCCACAGAGGACAGCTGTGCCACTTGACACTAAGGGCTGTGCTTTGGACTCTGTGCCCGCCCTTCTCCGTCCATCACTGGCTTTGGCTGCCCCTGGGGAGGCTGCAACCCCCTTGTGTCTCCGCCGGAAGAGGGCAGGAGGATCCCTGCTGTGAGGCAGCTCTAGACCCCCAGCAACCCAGTCCAAGGTGTGCTCCCGCCCTGCCTCAGATCTGCCTGAGGACACGCGGCCCCACCCTGGGCCCATTTCTCCAGGCAAACACATAGCTTGGATTGCTCAGGTTGGCCCAGGCACAGTCGACTGGGGTGAGCACTGGACAAGGAGTCCAGTCCAGGGACATTAAGTGCATTGAGTGTCCGATGTGGCCCGGCTAGAGAACCAGGGTTGTCCAGGCTGGCTTCGGGCTAGGGAGAAAGAGTGCGTGATTTCCACGGGGAGTTTGGACTCTGCGGATAGAATTCTAGGGCACGTGGGTGGCAGATGCCGGGAGGTTCAGCTCTGAGCATGGCAGATTTTGGAGACTATGTGCACCCCACTTCTTCCTCAGCTTCTCCTCACAGAAAACAAGACTGTGTCCTAACAAACCTGATGGGAGGCCGGTACCCACTGGACACACCGATCCCTTTCTGTTTCTTTAAAAATATTTCTTGTAAACTCCACAGCTTCTTCATTGGTGAGATCCTGGAGGGGAAGGGCAGGTCCAAAGAGAACATCCGACTGGCTGAGTTCACCGCAGGGTGTTGATGGAGAGACAGTCACATACTCAGCACATATTAAGAGTCTTCTATGTCCTAGGCACAGACACCGTGCTAGGTGCTGGAAATCAAGCAGAAAACAAACAGTCTGCAGGGGGCTTGTATTTTGGTAGGGGGACTCAAACTCTGAGCCAATAACCAAATGTAAAATAAATAAATCATCTTTGTGATTAGTGGTAAAAACTATGAAGAAAAAAGGAATTAGAGGAAAGGGAACCCAGTTAGAGGAGATGGAGGAGGAGCTGTGTTAACTTGAGTGTAGTAAATATACAGGATGAAGAAGTAGAAGGTCTACCAGACAACACTGAGACTGGTTTATGATGGTGTGTTGCATGTAAGAGTTTTGCTGTCTGAGTAAATTATAGCAGCTTTGGCCACAAAAGCAACAATGAGAATGGGTAGCTAGGGGAGATGATGGATACGTTCATTTGTTCTACTCTACTAGCCATTTTATTGTGTATCTACATATATATATGGCATACTGTAGGTCTTAAATATGCAGAGTAAAATTTATTTTAAAGAGCCAAGTTAAACAACAAAAAAGGTTGAGCGTGTAGCTCAGCGGCAGAGCACTTGCCTGGCATGCGTGTGGTCCTGGGTTCCATCCCCAGCACTGCCCTAAAAATGAATAAGCAAATGAATCAAGTGATCAGAGAGGCCCCCTTGTGGAGGTCACATCTGAGGACAGACTTGCATGGTGGCAGAGGGGTAGCGTCTGGGGACGGGGCTCCTGGCTAGAGAAGAGCAATTGGGAATGCGCCCAGGATGTTGGAGAAACATCTGGGGAGAGGATATCAGAGGAGAGAGGAAGAAAAGAGAAGAAAGAGCCCCTGAGGTGTGCTAAGGGGTTCAGATTTTAGTCCAGAAGCAATGGGGAACCATAGAAGGCTTTTGAGCAAAAGAGTACCATGGGCTGGCTTAGTGTTTTGGGGGTGAAAGGAAGGATGTGTCCATACCCGGTTAGCGACCCAGGTCAAGACATGGGCTGTTCTCATCCCGTGGAGGCCACTTCAGGGTCCTTCCAATCAAAACCCCCTGTCTTTTCCACTCAATCCCTGCCCCAAAGTGAGCAGCTGATTTGCTCAGATTCCTGTCCCTGTCAAATAGATTTGCCTGTTCTGAACCTTCATGTAAATACCATCAAATAATGTATTCTCCCTGGGTGCGGCTTCTTCCCCTAAACACAGTGTCTATGAGATTCATGGAGGTTTTTATAGCTATCAGGAGTTTGTCTCTTATCACCGAGCAGCATTGTGGCATGAAGAAACCAGGACTGATTATCCAATCCGCGGCGGAAGCATACGGGCTGCTTTCCGTTTGCAGCTGTGACAGGGAAAGCCGCTATGAACAGCCCCTCCGTCTCTGAGATCAGAAGCTCTTCTTTCTCGTACATCTGGGTGAAATTCTTGGGCCACAGGCTAGGTGCCCCCTGAGGTTTAGTGGATATTGTCAAAAAAATCATTTTTCAAAGTAGTTGTACCGCTTTTTCAGCTTTGAGATGTGTAATTCACATATCATACAGGCTTCCCTTTTCAGGCGGACCATTCTGTGTGCTCAGGGTCATGCAGCCATTATTACAGCCCATTTTAAAACAGTTCCATCACCCCCAAAAGAAACCCTGTGCCCCTGTCCCCTGCAGTCCTAGGCAACTGCTGATCTGCTCTTTGTCCCTTACAGGTTTATTGATCCTGTACAGTTCATGTAAATGGAGGTGTACAATGCGTGACCTTTGTGTCAGTGCTTTATTTCTTTTTATGGTTGAATAATTTTCAGTGCACAGAGAAACCATCTTGTTTATTCATTCCAGAGTTGGTGGATACTGGCTTCCACTTTGTGGCTATTAGGAGTGACGCAGCTGTGAGCATTCATTTGGGTGTGAGTTTGTGCGCTGTGTTCCCATTCCGCACCGGGAGAGTCCTGGGAGCAGAACTGCAGCGCCTGTGGTAGCTCTGTGCCTATCCGTGCGGAGCTGTGACCGTGACACGTGTTTCTCAAGCTCTCCCTGGCTGCTGTGTGGAGCAGGAACTGTCATGGGCAAAGTCAGATACAGAGAGGGGCCGTGGTGGTCAGCTTCCCATTGCTATCAGGAAATGCCCGATACAGGCAGCTTAGCAAGGAAAGAGGCTGATTTTGGCTCGGTCTGGAGGTTCAGATTAAAGCATGGGTGGCCCCAGTGGCCTGACCTCTGCAAGGGCAGCACATCATGGTGGGAGCACTTGTAGGGGCAAACCACGTGCATCAGGAGTCAGGAAGCAGACTATGCAGCCAGGGTCCCCCTGGCTCCTTCAAGAGCAGCTTGTCAGCGACCTAGGGACCCCTGGGTGGGCCCCTCCCCTTAAAGATCCACAGTGCCTCCCAAAGATTCCAGCCTGCGGACCAAGCCTGTAACCCATGGACATCTGGGAGAGTCCATCCAAAGCACAGGAAAGAGAAGGAGGAGGTCCCAAGAGAAGCCAGGCAGGGAGACTAGTAGTTTGGATCTGCAGAACAGCAAAGTGGGCCAAAAGCAGTGGGTAGATTCTCAATCCATTTTGAAGATCCACAACAGGATTTTCCGCTGGCTTCGATGTAGAGTACGAAAGAGGGTCAGGGAATACGCCAGGGTGAATGAGTTAGACGACAGCCCAATGGGAAGACCCTAGATTCCAGATGTGTCCTGCTGGAGGGGAGGCCTCACATCAAAATTGAGTGGAAAAGCCAGGTGTGGTGGCCCCAGCCTGTAATCCCAGCTGTCTGGGAGGCTGAGGCGGGAGGATCCCAGCCTGGACAACTTAGAAACTCAGTGATAATGTAGGTCCAAAATAAAAGGGGGTGGGGAATAGAAAGGACTTAAATTAAAGGGAAGGGTTGCTTGACTTGAATCCATTTCGTGCTACTAGATGACTGTGACTACCAGCAGGACATGTCCCCTCTTGATACCCAGCATGCCCTATCTGGAAATGGACACTCGGGGTGAAGCTGCCCTTCTCTGCTTCCCGCACAGAGTAGAGACGGGGAGGATGGAGCCTTGAAGACTGGGTGACATCCTGTCTGGGTTGGTGTCTTTCAGGAGCACACGCCTGAGCCTTGCACCATGACGGACACCGTGGTCAGTAGCAGCTCAAACCGATGGATGTACCCCAGCGACCGTCCCCTGCAGTCCAGGTCAGTCTCGGGCCTCCCGGGAGGGGCTTGCGTGGTGGAGGGCAGTTGCTGTCCTTGAAAGAAGGGAGGAATCCTGAGAAAAGAAATGCAATCTCCTCGTGGTTCGGAGAGTTTGTTGTGGGGACCTCTCCTGTATTTTTGCTTCTTTGTAAGGTTGGAAGAGCACATCAGAGGCAGCGTGGATGGGCCAGCACTGAGCTGGGGATGGAGAACGGGCACAGGCTGGGTTCACTCAGGATCTGAGCAAACTCGCTGTGTGATCGAAGCCCTTCCCCTCTCCAGCCTCGGTTTCCTCATGAGTCAAATAAGGACATGGAACTCAGTCAGAGCACACGCACGGGCAGGGCGCAGGCTGCTCTGACTTGCAGAAGTGTGTGGTTCTGTTTATGCTTTCATCTGGGGCCAGATCATGTAAGAACTGGGAGATTTCATTTAAGTCCAGATTTCTGGCATCTCTTAAAGAAACAGAAGAACTGACAACCTTGGATCAAAATTCTTCCATGCCAACATTTCAGAAGCTGATGCTGATCTTTATTTTTTTACTTTATGAAAAAAAATAAAACAGAATTCTATAATAAAACAGTAACAATAATTCATATACTGTGTATTATACTCTTAAAAGTAGTTATTCAGGGTACAAGACGTAGACCAAAAAAAAGACTCTCCTACAAAGAAGAAACAGATAATAGCACAAAACTTTCTTTTCAATCAACTAAGAGAAACTAGTAGTATAAATGTGAGCAGGAGCTGCTATCTTTAGCCAGCATGAGATTTCAGGGCCCACAGTCACCGCCATGCTGTACTGAGCTGAGAATGTCTACTCTACTTTGTGCATTTATGTTACCCACCCAGCACCTGTTGAATAGGTGCCCTCTAAGTTTCTTTAACTCTGCTCCCTGTGGGTATGTGTTGAATAGTATTTTAGACCCAGTTGCAGGCTTTACATTCTAGATAGACCAGTTGATAATATGATTGTTTTAGGGAAGGAAGGAGTAGCCAGCTGTGGTAGCACATGCCTATAATCCCAGTTATTAAGGAAGCTGAGGCAGGAGGATCGTAAATTTGAGCCCAACCTGGGCATCTTAATGGCAGCCTGTCTCAAAATAAAATTTTAGAAATGGGTGGAGCTCAGTGGCTTACCCAGTGTGTGCAAGTTCTGGGTCCAGGCTCCAGTACTGAAGAAAGAAAAGGAGTGTCAGGAAGTGGCTCTGGCCTGCCCAAGGATTATGGAAGGCATTATACAGTTGGTCAAAAAGAAGTGTTCTTCTTTGTCCATTGTTTAATATCGCCCCATCCACTGCTATTTTTTTAATTTCTGTTCTTATCTTTATTAGATCATCCTTTCTCATTTCTTGGCTTATTCTGTTCCTTGCTAACTGCTTGCACTGTATATTTATCTCCTTGAGCCTTCTCACAGGATAATGGCCACATCCTTCCCACTTCTACTATTAATAATTACACATTTGATAGATAAGCATCACATTCAAATTGTCCTGAGAGCTTCAACAAATTGTGTTTTCATTGTTTCTCGTTTCTCTGTGTTGTAACTTTTATCTTAGGGCTTCTTCTTTAAGAAGAGTTATCTAGAAGTTATCTAGAAGCATCCTGTATTTTAAAATTTTTGAGTGTTTGGGGATTGTTCATTTACTAATATTTTTGTTGTTAATCTCTATGCTAACTGCCCTGTGGCCAGAGAATGTGTTTTGGACGGTACTGTCTCTTTGCGATGTGTTAAGACCTGGCTTACAAACTAGAATATGCTCAGTGGTACTGTGCAGTCTCTAGTAGTTGTTAGATCATTCACACCTGTTAAAACAAGCTGATTGATGGTGCTCGGGACATTTTTTACCTTTACTCTTTTCTGTGTGCTTCTGGGTAGCATGTTAAAATCTTCAACAATGGTGGGTTTAGCAGTTTCTCCCTGTGCTTTTATAAATTTTGCTTTATATGTTTTAGGCTATCTTTGTCACTCTTATCCTGGCCATATTACTATCCTGAATGGCAGTTTAGGGTTTTAATAGTTATATCTTTTATTTCTAAAAAGTTTTTTTTTTTTCTTTCTAGTGTCTTCTTGACCATTTATTTTTCTAGTTTACTGGTCCTTGGTCAGTGTTTAATCCACATTGATCTCTTTACTGTGCAGTAACTTTATATTCTGTCTCAGTAATTATTACACCCACTCACTGGGAAGCTGATCTTTGCCCCAGGGGTTCATTAGAACTACGGTTAATTTTTCAAGAATTTTGCAAGCCAGTTACTAACCACTAGTTATGAAAGACTAAGCTACATTAATTTACTCTTAACCTGTATTATACACAGAAGTGACCAACACTCAAAATGAATCACTTTTAAATTATTTTATGACTGTTATAGCTGGTTATGGTGCTTGCATGGTGAAGCACTGGAATGTATGCTACACCGCTGCGGATTTCTCCCCAGCTCTGAATGTCACCTCATGTCGGCACTTGAGCTCAGTCCCAGCGGTACTTTCGCCTGAGATAAGTGGTGAAACATTCCCCAGGCCCCGCGGCCCAGAGCCCCTGACAGTCCACTTTGTGTATCATCCTTGCAGATTTTCACGCATAATGACTTGCTTCTTTGAGTGCCTGCTGAGGTGTTCTTGTGAGCTCAGTCTGTGAGAGTCCTGGGGACCTACCCTCGGGACATTTTTCTCCTAGGAGAATGCTTTTTGCTTCTGCTGAACCACATTCACTCCCTCTGAGGACCCTGCCTCCGTGTGGGGTCTCAGGTCCAGCTCCCTGCCTTGTGAGGAAGTCACAGGAGCAGCTGTTGTGGGTGGGGTTTACTGGATTCTCTTTCTCATTTTTAATGGCTTTATAAAGGTATATCAACCTACCTTCAACAATAATCGCTTAAAGTCTGTTAAAGTACAGTTTGATGATTTTTACACATATATGTATACTTTTTCTTTTGAGACCATCACAATGCTTGGGACAATGGCCACATCCTTCAGAGCTTCCTTGGACCACTTCTTTCTCCTCCTTACTTGCCTGCCTCCTTTGTACTCATCTCTAAGTAATCACTAATTTCTTTTCTGTATCTATAAATTACTTTGCACTTCCTAGAGTTTATTTTTATTTTTTATTTTTTATTTTTTGGGATTTTTCTCCGGTACCGGGAACTAAACTCATGACCTTGCGCTTGCCAGGCAGGCACTTTGCCGCTGAGCTAAATCCCCAGCCCCTTCCTAGAGTTTATATAAGTGGAATCATACAATGTATACTTTTTGGATGGAAAGAGGAGAGATACCTACTTCCTTTCACTCTGTGATTATTTTGTGATCCAACCATACCGTTTAGCCTATCAGTGTTTTTTCCTTTTCGTTGCTGATGATATTCCTTTAGTGTATATGCCACATTCAACCACTGACAGGCGTTGTACTATTTCTGTCTTTGAGCTAGCGCAGACAAAACTTTGCATAAAACGTGGTTTCACTTCTCTCGGATAATTACCTAGGAGTGGAATGTCTCAGTCATGTGGTAGGTACTGGTTTAACTTTCTAAGAAATTACCACACTGGCTTCCAAAGGGGGCGGACCATTTTTAAAATTCCCACCAGCAGTGCCTGAGAGTTCTGTTCTCCACACTACTTCCCCAGCACTTGTTAGGCTCGATGTTTTTATTTTTTGCCATTCTAGCATGTGCACAGTTGTATTTCATTATACTTTGTCATTCGCACTGCCTCCTTGATTAATGATGTTGAGCATCTTATATAATCTTGCCATTAATCAAACCTCTTTGTTGAAATATCTGTTCAAATCTGCTGTCCATTTTAAAAATCAGGTCATTCATCTCCTTGGAACTTTTACATGTTTTTCTAATGTTCGAGATAAAAGTCCTTTGTTAAGTAAGCATTTTGGAAATACTTTCTCCCAGTCTACCACATGCATTTTATTTTTCATAATAGGGACTTTGGGAGAGGAAAAGGCTTGTCTTGTGATGATGACTATTTTGTTTGTTTTGAAAAAGAACAGAGTCAGAAAGTTCTGCTCCTTTCTAGTAACCCTGGCACTGGGTTGAGAAAGGTCTGCTTTAATTTCTCTAGGATCTGTTTACATATTGGGGAAGAATTTTTTCACTCACCATTCTTGCGTCTGTGACTACTAAACTTTCTCCAGCCCTGAGGGTTTTGGCATTTCGAAGATACTACTGAACTCTGCCTGTTTCCTTCTATACAGGCAACTTCTAGGTTCCAAAACCCTTCCCATGATGTCTTCTTGGATCCAAACTGACTTCACAGACAATATTCTGTCTGCCAAAAAGTGTGTCTCTGTCAGATAAACAGTTGCCTGGAGGATGGATGGGGTAAAATATTTATTTTATTTGAGAAATGTCAGTTAATTAAAATCCCATCTATCAGAATTTACTTCGGTGGATATGAAGCCAAACAATTTGCCTTACAATTAAATTGAAATTATTCAGTCTGGACGCCGTTTCATTAAAGCGCTCCTGGGCTCCCGTGAAACATCTCGGCATCCCAAGTGCATCCAGCTGTCTTGATTGCTACCGCGTTTTCTCCAGATATTAAAATTATTTTTCAATAAATGCTGGTGGGTGAATTACAGTCATTACACACGCTGTCTACTAGGTTGAAGCGTGATGTGCTAATGCAGGCGATGCTCGTGTCTTTCCCCAGTAAACTAAGGAATCCAGTCCTAATTAACTGCTGGCTAGCCAGAGACACTGACTGCTTTTGTGATTTCCAAATGTCCTCCCCTTGCGGCCTCCTTGAGCCTAATGGTTGTGTCTGAAACCAGCAGAATGGGATGTGAAAGGGACCAGGGCACCTGCCTCTGGCTTGGTTAGGGCAATGGCTCGGCTCTCTGTGCTGGGAATTCACGGGGAGAGATGCTGCTGTCCACATGTTGATGTTTCTATTGAGCTATCACGTCTGCCAGCCAGAGAGGCCAGAGATGGCAGGTAGAAACTGAGGCACAAAGACAGGATGATCTGCTTATGGCCTCACACCCAGAAAATGGAGATACCAGTCCCTTTCTGGAACAGAAGGACTTGCCTCCCCAGCCTGGGGCCAGGTGCAGTCTACCATTCAAGGCCCATGGACCTACTCCTGTGCCTGCCCCAGCCACAACACAGCTAGCCTTTGAAATAACCAAAACCAAGAGGATGGTCATCACGTTAGTATCAAGGCAATTATTCAAACACGTGAATGCTCAGTCCATAATAAGCTGAGCCGATTGGCCAGCTTAATCATGGAGGTGGATTTTATAGCCTTGCATGGAAGCAGCCCTGTCTTAGATGTGCTGAAATAAGACAATGACTGAAGAGAAATTGAATTAGATCATCGTAATTCAAACCTTTGGGCTGTCGCGTCCGTGAAGGGTTGGTGTGGTTACGAGATTTCTTGCCTAACTTCGTTCATTTTTCTTTCTCTCCTTGCTTTGCCTTCCTTCAGCGATAAAGAACAGTGAGTATTCTGTGACACTTTTTTTTGTCTCCATACTGAATTTCATTGTTTTTCTCATCAAGATGGCTTGCCCCTAAAGAGAGGTGGTTGAAAAGTAATATGTTTTATATCTCTTTTAAAAAGTCAAGCTACTAAAAATATAAGCCGAAAACACCTATCTCAGGGAAACAAAATGTATGAAATCTTTTTAAAAAGAAGCAAACTTGATAAAAAGATGGAAAAATGTTCCTGAGAAGAGCTCTCAAATAATTCTCGGTAGTGGTCTGTGGGATGGCAGCAAGGTTGCTATTCATTTTCTGCCCATTTCGGCAGCATTCGGTGTGAAACACTGTCCTTAGATAAAGAAAGTGTTAGCTCCTGTCACTGCTATTATTATTCGTCAAGGCTGATGGTGAACAGCGCAGAGCTTGCGGGCCGTTCTGGGCCGGATCCTCTTCTCAGCCACCTTGCTGGAAGCCACCCTGATTTCCTAGGGAAATGCCGTTGGCTCACAGGCCCCATCTTTTGTGCTTTAATTGGATTCATTTCCTAAACATGCATAACAGATTGGGTGCTGGGTCCAATAAACGATTAGGCAGGATGCAAAGCAGCCCACCTTCAGTTACATGCACAAATTTAGCAACTATGGAAAGACACTGCTCTCCTCCCAGGATCAGGCTCTGGGACTTTGTCGGTGTGGCTTTGGACACTGTCCTCACCCCTTCACCCCCACCCATGAGCCCTGTATGTTTTATAAAATGTGTCTGATCACCCTGCCCTTCCCCCCTCTGCAGGTGGTGGAGAATCAGATAAGATGCACAGGAGAGATTTGTAAACTGTAAAACACCCAGCAAAATCAGACAAGGTGTGAATCACAACCCTGCTCACCTTAGCCTCTATAGGGAGAGCCCTTGTGCAATGTATCAGCCTCTTTGGACACGAATAATCGCGCCCTCAGAACCCTCTACAGACTGGCTTCAGGAGATGACACTAAGCCAGGTCACCCCAGGGAAATTCTTCTCCCCTCTCTGTACCTCCGTGTCTCCATCTACCTGACGGGAGATTCAAGCAAACTATTCAAGACCATCTAAGTACCCTACAATCCCAGTGGCTAGTTGGTAGGATGCTGGCCAGGCAAGACTTGCTTTTTATGAAACTGTGAGTCTCCTGTTAAGGCCTGTGAGGGAGAGACACCAATGCCTAACGAGATGATAAAGGAGCCCGTTACAGGGAGCTCTCAGAACCCTCCTGATGCTGAAGGTTGGAATGTGGAATGTACGTCCACCCCCTCCCTCCCCGCATTTCACCATACTTCCTCCCTTAATGGCCTCACACCCTCATCTTCTCCTCCATCCCTCCTTTTTCCTCCTCTCCATCCCTTAAAAGAGCATTTGCCAAGCACTTCTAAAATGCTAAGCACTGTACTCAGCACCCAGAGATACAGACATAGCCAAAGCATGAGTGGGGTCTAAAGGGGTCCACGGACAAGCGGCCAGTCACCATCAAACACACTGCCTCATGTAAGGAGCTATAACTGTGGGAACACAGAGTGTCACTTGGCCTAGTCTTGGGGTCACGTGGGGGAGCTTCCTGAAAGCAGTGATGTGCAGCCGAAGAGCATCATGTGGGGCACACAGAGGAGTCGGGGGGAACAGCACTGGCAAAGCCCAAGTGTGCGTGAGAGGGAGGGAGAGTGCGCAGAATTTCAGAAGAGCCAAACGGAGCAATCAGGCTGAAAAGTCGCCAGGATACCCCCCTCCCCCGTGTCCTGGCCTCATGAAGGCGGGGGGACCCCAGCATCCCTTCTGCACCCCTTAATCTGGCCTCTGCTTTTCACCCAAGCGGGCCTCTGCCGCAGCCAGGCATGTGCAAGACGTTTGGTGGCACGGCTGCCCCCCTCTCCTTCAGGAGTCATCAGACTCATTCAGCGAGCTCTGAAGAGACTTCCTGTGGACACCTGCCACGTTGGCATCCTGGGGGAAGGGAGAGGAAGAAGCAGAAAGGAAAGAAAAAGGATTAATTTTCTGCACACTGGAAAGCTTCAGCGCCTCCGTGCCCTGACAGCCCTTCCATCATCCCACGCCTTTGGGGAGCTCTAATTTATTAATAGAGACATCTGGTGGGTATTTATTACGTGACGACTATGTGCATGACATGAAGAATCAAGGTGGGAGGCAGAAGGAGTGGCAGGCTGTCCTTTGCAGGATTCTAGGGACAGACATCTGGAGTCTGGGCTGATTTCCTTTTGTTTGGGTGCATCTGATGCCTGTTTTGGTGGGAGAGATCCTTCTAACCTCTCTCCCAGAGAGGCTGTACCCAGGCCAGTGCTCCAGGTAGCTGGTGAAGCACATCTGGAAGGCTGGTGTCTCAACATTTCTCAGCAATTCCCTCCCTTTTCATGCAGGTCACGCATCTAGAAAATGAGCAGGTCAACTGCAGTGATCTTTAGACTCTGGTTGGCAGTGAAGTTTTTCTTCCAGTAATATTTTATTCAAAAGCTAAATATTTAAGAAAGATAAAAGTAGAGCTGGATAAAGACCTTGTGTGGCTGAAAGCATTAAAAGTATCATGGCAAACTTTACACAGCTGTGATTTAAAATACTACCAATCTGTAAAACAAGTGTAGAGAGTCTGAAAACCTTCATGCTCCTTTTTTTTTCTTGCTAGAGCAAGTATTGTATCAGTTAGCTATTGCTGTGTAACAGGTCATTTTAAAACAATAATTTATCCAACATTCCCTGTTGGTAGATACCAGGGTTATTTCCAACTTTTTGTTATTTTCACCAAAGAATAAAGCCCAAAAATAAACATCCTATGCTGGTGGAAATTCCTACCATTTAAAGTCAGGCTGGGTTGCCTGGAAATTTCAATTCATCAGTCTCTCTCTCCCTGTCCCTCTCCCCCTTCCCCCCGTTTCCTCAAGTACATGCATTTTTGTGCCAATTGACAGGAAATTGAATCTGGGAACTTCTGTCACTAAGGCATTGGGGGTGTCCTCAGATGTCCAAAGAACTCTAACTTTAAAATGCCAAACACCAACCAGAGACCCTGCTGTGCATTGCTCTGTTTGGTCCCTCCCACCTCCTGATCGGTGAGTCATTGTCTTCCCTGCTGCTCTGCTTTAAGACCTTTATTCATACACACTCGGTGCCTGCTCTGTGTGCAGCTCTGTTAGGCAATTTCCCCCGACTTGTCACCATGGCCACTATTTGCAACACACTTTTGTGCCCAAATGTTGATGGACGGGGACAAGGGGGAGGAAGACGTACAAACCAAACTTTTTTGAGCATTCGCTGATTGCTTTATACAGCTATCTGGCAAAGTCCTCTGTGTGTTCTGTGACAGCACTAGCATCTCCTTTGATGGATAAGCAAACGAAGGCTCAGAAGTGTTAAATAAGTTGTGCCTCAAGTGACACCCCCGGGCAGCGCCAGGGCCGGGAGAGGAGTCTAGGCTGTGCGGTCTCACAGCCCAGTCCCTCGGAGCCCTCCTTTAGGATATGGCAACTTCACAGAGACGGAGGGACCGAGTTTCTAAGGCTGTCACTGCCAGCGGCCCCCAGGGCTGCCAGGGTGGGAGTTCCCCAGCCAGCACGTAGTTAGTGAACGTTAGTCTGGAAAACTCTAACACTCACGGGGAGTGGTGGCTGGTCTGACACCTCAGTGTCCCCGGCGCAGGCTAGGTCTTTTGTTCATTGGTTTGAGTTCACCTCTCACTGCAAGTTTGGGGCATCTCGTAGACTAGGACAATGGTCGGAAGAGGTCATAGGATGCTTGCTCTGTGCTGTGGATGAGGGGTGCATTTTCCCCACTGGCGCCAGTTCAAAGCCCTCAACCACCTAACAAGCCGGGCCACTGACTTACAGAGCTGTACCAAGCCCCTACAGGGTAGCAAACCCAGGTGCCAGGCACTGACTCCACCAAGTCGAGGAGGCTCAGGCTGGCACACAGTAGGTCCTCTGAGCATTTCCTGGATTGAGTACACTCCTCCGAGCGGCTGGTCCCAGGAAAGCCACGCTTTGGTTGACGGCACTGATCTTTAACAGGAGCCTAGCAAACACTCTGGTCTAAGGACACGGAGCCAACATCCTGTGTCCAGAGCCCCAGGGCAAGGCGGTCACCATCTTACCACAAAGGCAGACTGCTGAAGCCACCACATCTGCCATGTTCCCCAGCCCAGGGGACCCAGCCAGGCCCCTGAGAGCAGAGGCTTTGGTTTGAAAAGCCGATCTCATTTCCCTCTGTTTGCTTTAGGAATTAAAATATGAAAATCCACAGAAGGCTTTCAGGCTCCCACTGAGACCAATCGAGACATTTCTAAACACTGGATGAGCTGTTTGTCAACTGCGTGTTCTGGGGCGGGGGAGGGGGAGGGTTGGTGAGCTGACGGCGGCCTCCAGCGGCATTCTGCTCCCGAAGGCTTGCAGATGGTGCGGTCATTCTGAGAGGGGCCTTGGGGACACCCGTCCCCGCTTATGCCTCTAGAGCTGTGAGCATCTGGGAGCTGAAGTCTCCTGTGCACATGGAGCCCAGGTAGCTGGGTCAGGGCTGGCCTGCAGATGACCACGACTGTGACCAGGGAGCTGCAGGGACCTGTCCTGCCCAGCCCAGAACCCTCGGGGCTCAATGTGGCTCCCTCAGCCGCTCTGTCAGAATGGGAAATAAATGGAGGGGACCCGAAGAGCACTCAAGGCAGAGGTGGGGCTGCGAGATGGAAGGGTGGCGTGCATGAACACCCTTCTCCACAGCAGACCCCGGGGCCTGGGGCCCAGGCAGTGGCTCATGTGGGTTATTGCTAGGGGAGGGCAAGTGGTCTTCATTATGCAGGAGTTCTCTGTGTCCCTTAAAAGTAATGGGGGAAGGCACAGGGTGAGGGGTGCTGGCGCTCTGGGGGAGAGAGAGTGAGGCCTCCATAACAGGGAGCATCCAAGTCTGTGGTAGACAGACTTCAAGGTGACCCCAGTGATCCCCTCTACCTGGAGTCCGTGCCTTGTTCATTTCTATCCCCTAGAATGTAGGTGGGATCTGGGACTTGCTTCTGACCTCCAGAATACTGTGAAGGGCATGGCTATCACTCATGATTATTTTGTATAAGACGATTCAGCTGTCACAAGCTGAACCACCTCCTTGTGTATGTGACAGAGGAAGTGACCACCTTTCTGGAGAAGTTCTGATGGTCAGGGATTGCAGGGCTGGGTTGGCCTCATGCTGACCACCAAGAAAAAAGAATTTTTGCCTCTACCAGTGTCCAGATCTGCTTGGAAGCTGACTCTTCCTTTGTGGAGCCTCCAGCCCTGCCACACCTTGAGCAAAGCTGTGTGAAGCCTCAAGCAGAAGCCCAGGCTGACACTGGCCTGGGAGGGCCGGGAGCCCGTCAGACTGAGGTTTTAAGCTCCGGAGTTGGCAAGAATCTGTAATGCAGAGATGGAAGTGAGTGCAGACCCTGTCACCAGAGCTTCATGCCACTACCTCCTTCCTCAGCTTGCGGGTTTCCGGTTACTGAAGGCTGCAAACAGTGGCTTAAAGCAGACACCTGTGGTGTCCGGCTTCCCTGGGGCAAGGGGTCCAGAGGCCATGGTGGATGCTGCATTGTCTCTTGCAAGTCACCCAAGGTCACTCCCAGTGTATTAAGGGAGCCACCGAGGACCAGCCCAGATTCACCATGGGAGGGGCACACACAGGGAGGATGTGTGTAGCGGGAGGCAGGGATCTTTGGGGACACCCTGCAGGCTGGCTGTCACCCTGGTCTTTCCCTCTTTGGGCTGCTGTCTGCTCCGCAGCTGTGCAGAGACCCTCTTCTTCCAGCCCAACCATCCCCTCCCTCCTCACCCTCTTTGAGTTCATCTTCCCAGTCTTGGTAGGGCCAGCTGGAGCTGTGTGGGACCAGAAGCTTGTACGCTTTAGGGGCCCTTAAGATCAGGGACAAAAATCTCTGACTTTTGCACAGTCTCCTAACTGCAGGACCATGACTAGGGACACTTCAGGGCCTTGGGAGGAACCTGTGCAAACAGTGACTAAGTTTTCCAGGTCACCAGATCACAATAGACCTCCTTCACCTTCTCCAGCAGCTCTCCAAGGTTCCTAGGCTGGCTACCTTCTCTTTCCGTGTCCTTGTGAGTTCCCTGTTAAGTAGACACTAATATCACTTTTGGCCACAAGGGATGGAGTCCTATTTGCCTGATCTGAATGCCAGGGTCACAATAGAGAACTGGAGACAAACAGGTCCCTGCAGACCCATAGTCTCTATCCCAGTAGACAGGTACCAAGAAAATGGAAAGACAACCTCATCTAGAGACAGGTGCAATGCACAGAAGGGCCCACAGCAAGGGCAGACCCAGGACAGCCTTCCTGAGATCGGCACCGTGCAAAGGGGCGGCTGGGTGGGCATCTGGGAAGAGGAGTGTTTCTGGCTGGAGGAAAGGCTTTTGGGAAAAACAAGATTTCAGAGTCCAAGGCTAACCAGAGGCCAGTGTGGATGGAACAGAGTGACCAAGGAAAAGCAGGGGACATTGACCGAGAGGCAGGGAAAGGACAGAGCAGGTGGAGCTTTACAAATGGGCCAGAAGATGGAGCCTTACTTTTATTACGGTACAAGTCACATTAACCATGTTAAAGAGTCCATGGGCTGGGGTGTAGCTCAGTGGTATGAGGCCGCCTAGCAGGTGCATAGCATGTGAAAGGCCCTGGGTTCGATCCTCAGCACCACGTGTGCACATGTGCATACGTGGGCGCGCACACACACACACATATGCACACACATGACTGAACGCAATGGCATGTGGAACATTCACAGTGTTCTGCAACTCAGCTCTGGACGTTATCCCAAGTCAGTCAGATGCCACCGGAGGTTTTGAGTGTGGCTGGCGTTTGTCATCCTGGGGGTCACTGCCAGATGTTCCCAGCCACACCCCCTTTCCTTTATCACAAGAATACTGCCCCCAAGGGGCCTGCCTCCCAAAACAAACCAAGGAGGGAGGAGGAGGGAGAGGGGCGATGAGATTTTAATTCCCAACTCCAGCTGTCAAAGCCAATGGCACACCTACTCTGTGATCAGTGCAGGGGTGTGACCAACGCTGCTGGCTAGTGGGGCGCTGGCTCCTGAGGCTTGGGAGAAAGAGCTTTTCCCCAGAGAGGGACGAGAATTCAGGCGGCGTTCAGCCTTGGAGTCCACTCAGCTGCTGCAGCTCAGTGCCTGGGGCACGGACCATGGTGCCAGGGGCGGAAAAATTGGTTACCCATAAACCTCCGCCGCAGCTCTGCTCCCAGCAGCCTCTGCTTCTCCGGCCCATCTACTTTCTCCTGCCTCAGGCTCCCCCTCAGGAGACAGGAGAACTGACAGTCCCTGCCTCGTAGGGATGACACGAGGGTTCCATGAGGAGACACAGGCACTGAGGTGGCATTAGAGCAACGTTTACTTTTTAAAAAGAAGAGCACAGAGCAGAACCTGAAATGTCACCGGAGCCTTTGAAGCTAGGAACCTCGATGTTTATGTGAAATCAAGAGACTTGTGTAAACCTGGTCGGCAGCTAGTTTAAATTTATTTTCTAAATCCTGAGGCCCAGATTACCAGCTGTAAGAATGCAAGCTTGATCAAACAATTACAGAGAAGGAAAAGTAATTTACAAAAACACATTAGAAGTGATACAGAGCTTCACTAAACAAGACGGTAGGAATTCAACAATTTTTTAAAAAAGCTCAAGGAGCAACAATGATGATTTTCACCATAAAATTCTGGGACCCAAATAAAACGTGTTTGTGCCAGACGGGCACCTGGACCATCCTGGGACCCAGGGCTTTGGACTGCTTGGCAGAATTGTTTCCCCTCAAGCTGCGGAAATCTCCTCCTCTGGCATCTTTCATGCGTCTCCTCCAAATGCTATTTGCAGAATGCCTGCCATGCAGATACCAAGCACTTAGTAAAAATAAATCCAATGGGCACTGGATGTGGTGGCTATAATCCCAGCACTCAGGAGGCTGAGGCAGGAGACCATCACAAGGTCAAGGCCAGCTGGAGTTCCATAGTGAGTTCAAGGCCAGTCTGAGCTACAAAATGAGACCCTGTCTCAAAAATAATAATAGTAATAATAATAATAATAATAATAATAATAATAATAATAATAATGTTAAATTTAAAAATAATCCCATTGGTTTTCTTTCCAGCCTCACATCTTCCCAAATTGCCTTTCAGGCTCCAGGCGGGCTGGTCTGTCCATCCCAGCAGCCAGCCAGACAGACAGAGGAAGCAGGAAGAACTGACAGATGAGGAGAAGGAAATCATCAACAGGGTGATCGCTCGGGCTGAGAAAATGGAGGAGATGGAGCAGGAGCGGATTGGGTGAGGCTGATGTTTCTGCCCCTGAAAACCACAGGGGCAGGAGGGCAGGGGCCAGGATGCGGGGCTGGGATGCCTCTGGGTGTTGTCCTTTGTGACCTGTCAGGACAGCCGTGTCACCAGACAGCCCTGGAGTCCTTGCTGCATCTGGCGGGGAGAGTGGGCTGGGCTGGGCTGGTGAGGCGCTTTGTGCGTGGGAGATGGGGACCCATCTTACCCCATGGCGGCCTCATTGCAATGTGTTCTGACACCTTGGCCTCTGGACACAGCCAAGGTAGAGGGAGCAAAGGTGGGTGGAGAGGCAGCAGTGCCCGCATGCAGCTCAGGACCTGTGAGACTGGGCCTCCGGGAAAACAGAGCAACGGTGCCAGAGCCTGTGAAGGCCGTGTGCAGGGCACAGCAGAGGGCTGCTTAACGCGCACAGGGCTGCAGGTGGGCAGGAGCAATACGGTCTATGGTTCTGCAGCTCACTAGGAGAAGTGCAGGAGACAGCAATTCCCTGAATGTTCAAAAATAGCTGGCAGAGGGGATTATGAATGTTCCTGATACAAAAACATGATAAGCGTCTGGGGTGATGGATATGCGAGTTACTCTGATCTGATTATTGCACAGTGCGTGCATGTACTGAAATGTCATGCTGTAGCCAGCTGTGTGGATGCACATCTATAATCCTAGCGCTCTGGGAGGCTGAGGCAGGAGGATTCCGAGATCAAACCCAACCTGGGCAACTCAGTGACTTAGAAAGACCCTATCTCCAAATAAAAATTTTTTAAAAGTAGCTTGGTATGAAGGACCTGGGTGTAATCCCCAGTACTGCAAAAAAAAAAAAAATCATAATGTACCCCACAAATATATAGTTATGTGTTAAGGGGAAGGAGAGAGAGAAAATGCATGTGGCATGAATTAGGTAAGAGAACCGAAGGACTGGGTCCTGGGGTTCTGTAAGAAGCAGCAGTGTAGGATGAGGCTGCAGAGGTTCCCCGCTGGGCATGGACTGGGGGCCGACTTCCAGCCCAGCTGCCCATGTGGCTTCAGTGGGCCTTGGGCACACGGCTTCGCTCCTCTGAGCCTTTTGGGTCACTGGCAGAACGGGCGAAGGACGGTAATGACGTTGTGCGCCCTCACCAGGTCGTGAGGAGTCGGTGCGGGTCCAGTTCCTGGCCCAGCCTCGGGGACCCCCTGTGATGAATGAACGCGCTGAAGAGGGGAAGGGGGACTCGGGCACAGGACCCTGGAAGTGTGCGTGGGAGACACGAGGCTGGAGAGGGGCAGGTGTGATGTGTGGGAGAGAGAGACAGGATCAGGGAGCGCGGAGGGAGCTGGGAGCAAGGAGGGTGTGAGGGGGCCGGAGGACATGTAGGCGGGCATCCCGGTGAGGGTGGCCAGGAGAAGGGGGCTCTAGCGTGGGTGGGAAGTGGCTGCCCCGATGCAGAAAGATCCGCAGAGTGGTCTCCCAGACCCAGCTTCCCGTGAGTAATGGGACGCGGCCAAGATCAACCCTACCCCAGGCCCTTGTGCCGGCAGCAGCCACTGCCGACTGCTTGCGAGGACTCACCGCTGGGCGCACTGACCTCATGCCCGGCTGGGCCTGGCAGGGCCAAGGTGGAGAGAAGCTGTCCACGAGGGCCAAGCTCCTGCAGCAAGGGCGTCCTTCTCGGCCTCTGCCAGCTTCCTTGGGTGGCTGGACAGTTACCGGAGGGACAGGCATAAGGGTCGTGCTGTGGGCCTGTGTTTTTATGTTATACTGCAGGACTGGGGATGGAAGCCAGGGCCTCCCACATGCTAGGCAAGCATTCTACCCCTCAGGGACATGCCCAGCCCTTTTTTAAAAATTGTTATGCAGGTTCTAACTAAATGGCTTGAACTTGTGATCCTCCTGCCTCAGTCTCCCAAGTAGCTGGGATTATAGGCATGTACCACCACACTCAGCTTTTATTTAGTTTTTCTAAAGGTATCTCAGGAGTGCAGAGAGAGAAAGAGAGAGAGAGAACTTGTGTGTCATATAACAGTGGCCTTTTCCTGAGGGAAGGGAGAATATGGATGTTAATGTCAATGCTGGAAGCAAGTGCTGTATTCCTCTCAAGCTCCTTGCTGCACTGCACTCATCCCAGCTGTCATACTTTGTGCCTTCCCCGGTACTGGACTATCACACGCCACTCCCCATGAATGCAAGACTCTTGAAGGTGGGGGTTTTTGCCTGTTCTGCTCACTGTTGTCAGAGCCTGGTGCAGAGTATGTGCACAGCAAAATCGTTGTTGAGTGAATGAGTGACCATGGGCAATGATGCTGCTGCCCAGTTTCTTTCTACATCGCTTGCTGCCAGGGCCTGGGGAGTTTGGACTCCTGTCCAGGGTCCTGAGCAAGTACTCTGGAATTAGCGGGCTTCTGCTGGCTGTTGTCCAGTCCGCCACAGCCAGGGGTATCAGACCAGGTCCCGCAGTATGGCCCCAGAGACACCCCTGAAAGTAAAGTTAGGAGGATCCCTGTGGACTGAGCAGCTCCCAGCCTGAAAATTCCATGGCTGACATATTCTCCCACCAACCTGGCGATGTGGCAGCAGAACGCCACGGTTAAGAGCTAGAGTCCCAAAATTAGACAGACTTGGTTCAATCCCAGCTCTGCCACTCACTCCCGGTGTGACTTGATGTAGGCCACTTTACCTCCCTGTGCCTCGGTTTCCTCATCTGCAAACTGGAGCTACCATTAGCCCCTGTTTCTTTGGTATATTTTAAATCAGCATACAAAGGATTACCATGGCGCCTCTTGCGTGTTTAATAGATGATGGTGACCAATGGGGACTTTTGAAAGAAAAGAGCAGGCTTGCTTTTGACACTGGCTGATGCTCCCAATCTACAACCGTGACCATGACTCCAGTTTGGCAAGCCCTGGAGTTCTCGGAGCCCCTGGCTTCCCCTGAAGGAGGTTTGCCAGGCTTCCAGGGAAGCGGGGCCAAATCCAAGCTGACGGCATGTGCTCTGCTGAGAAGGTGCATTTTTTCTGCCTGGCTTCCCGGCGCGGGGAGGGCAGTCTGGTCCCGGAAGAGTCCTCCCTGGCAGCATCGCCAGAGGCAAACCCGATGCTATTTGTGGCTGTAAGCTGCAGCCTGCACAGTGCTCCTCTTCCACCCACACTTCCCTGAGAAGGGATCAGAGTCGAGTCGTATGAAAACTGGGTGCAACGTCAGACAGAGAGAAGCCTGACATTGGGGGTGCCTGGCGGGGCTCCCACATAGAACTGGAGGCTCTCAACTAACAAGACTTTGGGGTCTTAGTTTCCCCTACTCATCAGATGAGTCAGTGTGGTTCTCAGGATCCTTCCAAGGCAGACTTGGCAGCACCTGTGGTGCGGATGGGTGACCCCACACTGTGTTGTTGGCTGTGTCTCCGGAGCAAAGGAGCTTCTTCTAACTGCTAAAACTGCAGGTGTGTCACGTCCCCTTTGCAGGTACCCGCTCAGTCATGCTGAGTTTCCAATTACCTGAGCAAAAGCCATTGGGGAGAGGAGTAAAGTCATGGTGAAGAAGCAGGATAAGTAATCACCACAATGGGTACTGCTTATTGAGCACTTACTATGTGCCAAGCCCTGTATTTTGAAACTTTATTTGAATTAACTCGCTACTGACTCCTTTCAACCCTATCACACAGGTGCTGCCACCATCTTCACTAACAGGGGCTTAGGGAGCCTAGGTCACTTGCTGAAGGGTGCTGAGAAGCAAGGCATACACCGCTGCCTAGCTGACTCCTAAACTTGCTCATAACTGTGAGGTCTTTCCTCAAGATCTGTCCACAGATTGCTAGAACCTACGGCAGAGGTCCCCATTCCCTGGTCCATGGACAACCACCCCCTTTGCATGCATTACCACCTAAGTTCTGCCTCTGGCAGATCCACAGGGACATTAGAGTCTCATAGGGGTGCAGACCCTACTGCGAACTGCGCAGGTGAGGGAGCTAGGTTGTGCTGTCATTCTAGTCATCTTGAAACCCCCTACCTCCAGCCCCCATCCACAGAAAAATTGTCTGCCATGAAACCAGTCCCTGGTGCCAAAAAAGTTGGGGATTACCGCTGTACAGAACCTCACACTGGAAGTGCTCAGGTTTGGAGGGGACGCTGTGAAATCTGGAGGTTGGAACTTCCTTGGTGCTGGCCCAGTGGTCCTTTCCAGCTCTCATTAACCCATTGGTGCCTGCCAGTGCTGCCAGAGCTGGCTTAGGTTCTGAGAGGGAATGATCCCCAGGCCTCCCTGGGGCAGTTTTGCTATGTTCAACCTCCCCAAGGGCCTGAGCAATGGAGGAGAATGTGCCACGTGGCAGCCTGGAGCTGGCTCCTTCCTGGAGCCCTCTGCCTCTGCCAGGAGGTGTCTAAGCCTTCGCTCAGCCTCAGCCCTCAACCCAGCCCTGCTGTCTTCAATATCCTGGGAAGTAAAAATGATGTTTGTGTGTGTGTGTGTATGTACCTGGCCATAACCAGCTTTCCGTGTTAGACGGAACACATTGCTGGCAAGAATTAGGAAACAAAATCCAGCCAGGTTGTCTCAGTCATCTACTGCTATGTAACAAACCACCCACAACATAGTGATTTAAAGCAAGAACATGTATTTTTTCATGATCGGATTGGTTAAGAATTCAGGCAGGGCTCTGCTGGGCAGGTTTTCTGCTCCACAGGGTGCTGGCTGGGGTCGCTGCCTTAGCTGCATGCAGCTGGTGTCTGGACTGAGCTGTGTCTGTGTTGGGGCTCTCTGTGTGGCCTCCCTCTCTCTCCATGACCCTTCCTTATTCAGTAGCCTGGCCCCAGCTCCTTCACAAGGCATCTGAACCCCAAGAAGCAAAGGAAGGAGTTGTCAGATCTCTTAATAGCTGCATTTGGAACTGGAAGGACATCTTTTCCACCACCTTCTACAGGGGACAGAGAAATAGATCCCACGCCCTTAAAGAAGGAATGATGTATGTATAGGGAAGGATTCCTGATAGCTGTCTTTTTAGACATTATCACATTATGCAAAAGGG